GTTTCGCATAAAATTGGATTTACATTGAATTTCTTGGAAATTTTTCCTATACCAATATTTTTATCTGTATTAGATGAATTATGAAAATGTAATGCTTCGGTCGACTCTATGTAGATCTTCATTCAAATTTTAACATTTTTTTTAAAAATGGGTTTTTGTTGTAACATACTAAACCAACTTACATAGTTATGTTAGTTCGTTCAGGTAAACGAAAGCATAAATAATTTTAATTTAATGTAAATCTTTGGTACCTCTTCTATTGGGCTTACGATCTTGTTATTTGGGAAAAAAAGTTTTTTTTTTTTGGTTCTAGGAGTTATTTTAAAATAACTTCTTGGGAGATTATCCCAGACAAAAAGCAAGGGGAATTGATAAGGCTTGGTGGCCTAGTTATTCCCTGCCTTCCCCCCTGGTAAACATTACCATCGTTCTCCACTAGTAAACAAAGATTTCAGATCATTAAGCTCGTCTCGAAAGAGAAAACAAACACTTAAATCATAAAACATATGATCTTCGCCTTAACAAGGCAAAACTCAAACAAACGTTGTTTTTTATTTAAAAAAAAAAAAAAAAAAAAAAAAAAAAAACAACAACAATAAGTCTAACTATTTTGGAAGAACAATATATCATATTTATTTAGGTCCGATACGATCCGAAATGGACAATATTGACCCATTACTTTGGAACCTACTTCATAGAAAGTCAACAATTTGAATAATCATAGCAGAAGTTAAAATATATTTAGATAATCGTACATTGGCTGAGGGTATACATCTGTCGACAAAACCGACTGATACGTTATCTAAAAAATTTCCGAAGTTCGATATAGTATTGTATAATTTTGATAACGGCGAAAAAATTCAGCAAATTGATAGAAAATACCTGATCAAAATACCTTAAAAATATAGCAGTGCTAATGAGTGGAGTCCAAATTAAACCATTTATCCAACTTTCAATATAACTTCAATAGTTTCGGTTCGAAACATGAAGTTTTAAATATGTTTCCTATAAAGAAGGCATAAAATTACAGAATATTTTTAATCTTAAACCCAATTATAATAAACTATCGAAATGTTTGTGTCTTAAGTCTTTTGTTTTCGAATCAACTCTCTTCAAGCCACTGGTTTTATCCCTATCATAAAATTATTAATAAAATTTCCCGTGTTAAGAAATTATAAAAATTTAGTTAATTCATTTTCCCTTCCTAGAGATAAAACTTACGAAAAGATTACAATCACACTCTTATCAAATTGTAAATAAAAATGTTCATAATGCAGTTGTGTTTAACAAATTAATAACAACAATCTAAATTACCTTATATGAGATGCACCATTGAAAATTTTAGAAATATTAAAGTGCTATGTTTTGGTGTGATAAATATTAGATTCATATCTTGCCCCATATCTATGAGGTATTGCTATACTGAACAAAAATTAAGAAAAAAAAAAAAAAAAAAAACAAGTAAAAAAGCTGTAAGTTTGGCCGCGCCGAACTGTGAGTACCCTCCACCATTTGGAACGAATTTGGTAATTCTTTAAAAACAATAAAATCCGTTAAAAATTCTGTTAAAATCTTAAAAATACCGAATGTAGCTGTTATATTAGGTCTATACGATGACATGGACCTGCATAGGTAATTTTTGTCATAAGCCATTATAATATTCAAATGCGAATATCGGGAGGTACTGTTATATGGGGGCTATACGGAGACATGGTCCTGCACAGACAATTTTCTGTCATAGGCTGTAGTATCCATTTCGAACATCAAATACCAAATTTGAAACAATTCCGGTGAATAATGTCGCTAAAATCAACAATGTACCGAATATCAGGAGGTACAGTTATATATGGGGGCTATACCTAAACGTGGACCTACATGACCGATTTTCAATTCCAAAAGTCCTCCAGACATTTTTTTATCTATCTCGCAATTATTTATTCAAAAAACCAGTAAAGAAAGTCTTAAAGTCGGGCGGGGCCGACTTTATGATACCCTACACAACTTTGCTAATTTAGTAGAGCTCCGCATAACAATTAAAAGTTTTTATGGGAGAACTCAATCATACACGCTATGATTATAATTTAAAGTTCAAAGAACTAAGTATGCCGAAGCATTTGTATCTTTTAAATTCGGACTTGTATTGCCCAATTGGTGCACAATTAATTTGAAATCGGATAAAAATATATATAGGAGCTATATCCAAATCGGAACCGATCTCGATAAAATTTAGCAAAGATATTTCTGAGCTGTATTTGATATATTTCCCTGAATATCGTTGTTACGGAGTGCATATTACGGCTGTGGGTAACAAATATGACAAATCGGATGAAGAGTATATATGGGAGCTATAGCTATATCTGTACCGATCTTCACCAAATTTGACATATTAGCTTCTAGACTCAATTCGGTCATAAGTGCCAAATTTCATCCAATTTGGGCAAATATTAGACGTTTGGTGCACAATCCAAGGTAAATCGGACGAAGTTATATTTGGGAGATATATCCAAATCTTAACCGATCTTGATAAAATTTAGCAAATATATTTCTGAGCTGTATTTGATAAATTTCCCCATATATTGTTATTACAGAGTGCATATTACGGCTGCGGAGGACAAAAACAACAAATCGGATGAACAATATACATGGGAGCTATAGCTATTTCTGAACCGATTTCGATCAAATTTGGCATACTTTTTTTTAGGTCCAATCTGATCGTACGTGCAAAATTCCATACTATTCGGAAGTCAAATCGGACAAAGATATATATGAGAGCTATATCTAAATTTTGACCAATTATCTCCAATTTCAATAAGGTTCGTCCTTGGGCCAAACAAATGATTTGCGCAAAATTTCATTTGGATAGGGCAATAAATGCGAACTGTACTTTGTTTACAAAAATACATGGACATACGGACAGACGGACGGACATACATAAATCGCAGAATGTGATTCTATGCAGATCATCAAAAGGAACTATAGGTCTATCTCGTTTCCTTTTGCCTGTTACAAACAAATGCACAAAGGCATAAAACCCTACCACCTTGTGATGTAGGGTATAAATAGAATTTAAAGAATAAATATGTTCCGATAGTTTTTTTATTTTTGACATGTTTTTTATACCCTCCACCATACTATGGAGGGTATATTAATTTTGTCATTCCGTTTGTAACTCCTCGAAATACTCATGTCAGACCCAAAAAAGTACAATATTCTTGATCAGCGTAAAATTCTAAGACGATTTAGCCATGTCCGTCTGTCTGTCTGTGTGTCTTTCTGTCCGTCTGTGTGTCTGTTGTAATCACGCTATCTTTCGAACAAATTGAGATAGAAGGCTAAAATTTTGCAGACATGTATATTTTGCCAGTGGCAGGTTAAGTTCGTAAATGGGCCATGTAGGTCCAAGTTATCATATAGCCCCCATAAAACGGTACCTCCCGAAATTCGGCATTTTGATGATTTCAGCGACATTATTCACAGGAATTGTTTCAAATTTGGCATTTGAAGTTCGTAATGGATACTACAGGCTAAGACGGAAAATTATCTGTGCAGGTCCACGTCTTCGTATAGCCCCCATATAACGGTACCCCCCGATATTCGGTATTTTTATGATTTTAGCGACATCATTCACCGGAATTGTTTCAAATTTGGTATTTGAAGTTCGTAATGGATACTACATCCTAAGTCAAAAAAGTAGCCATGTAGGTCCACGTCTTCATATATCCCCCATATACCGTATCCCCCGATATTCGGTATTTTGATGATTTTAGCGACATTATTTACCGGGATTGTTTCAAATTTCGCATGTGAAGTTCGTAATGGATACTTCAGCCAATGCCAGAAAATTGTCTGTGCAGGTCCACTTCTTCGTATAGCCTCCATATAACGGAGCCGGAATATAGCCTCTATATTCGGTATTTTGGTGATTTTAGCTACAATATAAACAGACTTTTCTTCAAGTTTCGCATATAAATATTGTAATAACTTATGACAAATGTTGCCTATGCAGGTCCATGTCGTCATATCGTGAATTTTTAACGGATTTTTTTTTTGGAAATTGCCAAATTTGTACTTAATGGTGGAGGTAATAAAAGTTCGGCCCGGCCGAACTTACAGCTTTTTTACTTGTTTTATTTTTGACATTTTTATTTTTATTAGGTAAATTAGGCGAATTCTCCAGATCCTCCAAGTAGGACTCCATTTTCAAAATTAAAATTTTCTTCTCATAGACCTGCATTAAACAACTTGTAATGCACCTTATTCAAAAGTATAACTCATCAATCCAAATTTTGACGGCACCCCTTTTGTTACAACCCACCAAATATTTGGATACACTTAGCGTATCAGTGCTAACTAAGTATCTCAAATGGATGGTCACAAAAAACACACAAACACATGATATCCCTAACTTTGTTTTTGTTTTTTGATGCTATTCTTCTGCTTCTTTTTGGTTTGATGGGATTTTTCTTATTGGAAATTTGAGTTGACTTTTATGTGGTGTGGCATGCGTTTTATGTCGGCCCTTCCGCTCCAGCAAACGCATGCCGAGAGCATTGTTTAATTCTGGGCTTCTTTTTCACTTTTGATTTGTTGTTCTTTGAAATGATTTGTTTGGCATTCATTGATCATCATTGTGTGTTTCAAAGCTATGGAGATTCTTCTTTGTTTTAATTTTTTGAAAGGGGGAAGGAGGGGAGATGAATGCACTTTGTTATTTGTTTTTTTTTTGTTTTGGGGTTTAGTATGCCCAAGTTTATTTGTTTTTAACGCTAAATTAATTTTCTTGCATTGACGACTTGAAGGGTTCTGACAAATTGAAAACTTTTGGATTTCTTTTGGAAATGGGATAGACAAGTGCGTGTGCCGTTAGATTTGACGATGCTGCTATAAAAGCTGGAAAAAGTGATTTGAAAGCGTTAGAATACCAAGAGCGGTTATTGTGTAAAGAACGAATACTTCTAACGGGTGTGCTTGAAAAGATTGTTTAAAAAAACTAAAAATTAAAACAACTCAAAGGATAATAATGTTTGTTAATATAATGAAATATTTTGTGGTATGTGAATTAAAAAAATTAACAAAATAAATTAAAAAAAAAGAATAACACAAAACAAGGATACAAGTGCATATTGAGAGAATAACAATAAAAAGGAACAAAATATTAAAAAAAAAAAAAACAAAAATGTAAACACCATGTCATTGAAATAAAATATGCTAAACAAAAGACTTAAGAAACGAACACACAATAAAATAAATATCGGATCTTATAATAATCGATAAAATTTTTCAAAAAAAAAAAAAAATGAATTTAGGTCTCCTGACTCAAAAAACTGGACGTTCGAGACCTATTAGAACTAATGTTGTGCCTTATGTGAACAAATGCCGAATTGGTCACAAAACAATTTTTTAGGGAAATTTCGTGAAATACTTAAAAATTCTTTAACGAATTTCACTATAAGTCACTCGAGATATGAAATCTATGGGATTGTTGAATTTTGAGATAAAATGAATCCATTTTGACACAATAAAATGCCACCTTTACAGTGATACCACAAACGTTGGTAGAACTCCAAAAGTCTGGAAAATGTAGCTGTATTAAGACTGGATAACAAAAATTTCCTTAAGGCCATGATTTCTTTAACCAGGGGAATTTTATAAGGCTAAATCGTTGTTACCATTGACTTTTTCAAATAGAAATTTGATTTGCTCAACAGGACTTCTTTTCCCGTTCAACGGGTTCCTCGCTGGCTAGGTTCTCTGGGTAGTAGATAAGGACAGTGGGAATGTCATCAAACCATTGAAATTTTTTTGGAATTGTCAATTGTTCTGGGTACTTTGTGGAGGATATTAGTGAAATAATTAAAGTATTCAACAAAATTCACTGCGTTCGAAAGAGAGAGCACTCAGGCTTAGAACATTTATAACACATCGATAATTAGGGAAAAATCCGGCAGATTATGAAAGTGAAGCCAAAAAAGAAGACATAAGAATCAGCGTTTTAAAAGTTTACATCAAAAAATAAAAAAAAAAATAACCAAAATTGAGGAGGCAAGTTCCCCCTTCGTCCATACTTTTGAAAATTCTCCGAATCTGTGCATTTTAGGCACATAGTGTTTTCGGCTATATTGCAGATAATGCGTAGAATATCTCTGCGGTAAATTTTAATCTTCATGCGAATCAACAATTTTTTAAATATGGTTAAAGGTTCGCTCTTAACGGGATTCTAGCAAGTCAAAATATTCTACAAAATTATTTACATTAAAATTCTACTATGAGTTGTCCATTCCATTGTCTAACTCTTAGTTACCTTCGTCGGAAAATTCATAATTTAGTGCTTTTCGTACACTTTATAACCCTACACATTTACAATGATCCCTATCTCAATATGTACTTTTCCGACACTTTTTGTACGCATTTCTACAACATATTTGTATACCCTACAATACTATGTGTTGGAGGTATTATGAGTTTGATTGGACCAAAAATTATGTAACACCTCGAAATAATGGTTTCCGACATACTAAACTATATATGGATCTTCCTATCTCGCCGAGCTGAATCGTCCGTCTGTCCATGTTAATTTGTAATCAAGCTACATGTCGAATTATGGCCCGATCCTTACGAAATTGAAAATGGAGGTGGGATTAGGGTCAGAAGAGAAGCCTATTGTTTTTGGGGATGATCACAAAATATTTAGGGGTTGAAACAGACAAAAAACAGAAAAAGTTTCTGATTTTGCTGTTGCCTTACAGGCCACAACTATGAACCAATGGACGGACGGAATTTTGCATGGAGTTTGAGCGATAAGGACAGGGAAGATGTCTAGCACTTTGGATGACCATTGGATTATATTTAGCTGTAAAATGGACAACAACTTTTGTGTGACATTGTTTTGAATACCTAACAACACGACAGAGTGCGTAAACATTGGACAAATGTCCCAGGCTCTATGACAACATTTCAAAAACTAAATCTTCCAAAATTATGGCCCGATCTTCACTAAATTTAGAATGGAGGTGGGGCTAGGACCAGAATTGCAGCCTATTGCTTTTGGAGATAATCGCATAATATTTAGGGGTTGAAATGAACCAAAAACAGAAAAATTTCCTGATTTCGCAGTTGCTCTGCAGGTCTCAATTATAGACCAATCGAAACGGAAGTTAGTATGTGACTAGAGCTCAGGGCTGGGCAGAAGCCTCCCAATTTTGATGGCTATCGGCTATTTAGTGGGTGAAATAGACCATAGTATGTGTTTTAAATAAAAGTCAAATTTTCCATTTAACAGCGAATATTTTTAATCCCAGCGAAATCACAAATGAACGAACAGGTCAATCCTGACCGTTACGTAGATGCCGATAGTAAATATATCGGATATATACAGCGAAATATATGCAGTGTGTATATACAAAAGAAGAGGATAACTAACATCATTAATGCTTATATTTCAAAAATGGCTGGACCGATTTTGACAAGTTTTGCCAATGCAGAATGCCCTCTTGGTATAATAGTATAAAATCTAAAAAGACTAGCATAAAAAGATGCCAATAACGATGCTAATATAGATTTTGTAGTATTTTGTGACATTTTTTTATTTTTCCATATTTTTATTGCATGCGATTTTTTTCAATTTGACTTATAATATAGAAGTGTATATTTTGTAATATTTTGTAGGGTTAGGCTCAGAAGGGCTAGGCCTATTGCTTTCAAAGATGTCCGCAATATATTTGAGGTTTGAAATCGACCAACAACTAATTGAATTTTTCTATTTGATTTTTCAGCCTTTAAAAAGGCCACAAATTGAAACCAAAGGACACGAAATATCACATGAAGTTAGAGTTTAAGACAGAGTTCCAAATACGAAATCTTTCACAATGGATTTGGACATAAGAGCCTTCTAACATACTGTAGTGTTGTAGGGTATCACATGGTCGGCCCGGACGACTTTAGCCTTTGCTTACTTGTTTTTTTTTACCAAATTGTTCTTGAAATTTTTCGAGTTTTTGCCTTAAAGTAATATCAAATTTCGAATTAGGGGGAAGGTGTCAAAAGAAGGAATATTTTGCACAAAATATCACTAAAAATATCAGAATAAACAATATATCTAGGCATAATAGTTTTTATGAAAATTACTTTCAAAATGTATATACTAATTTGTATAACCTCAGCTCTAGGGTGAGATAAAAACTTTTTGAATGAAAACAAAAAATGTCGGAAATAGCATCAAATTTTAGAATAAGTTTAGATTTGTTCGAATAAGTCACCACTGGCTCGAATTATGGGCTTCAAACGGCCAATGAAACCGTCACACGCTACCCGAATGTTGCTCTGCGGTATTTTGGTCCATTCCCGGAGAAGTGCTTGCTTGAGGTGATCGACACTTTGGTATTTTATAGTGCCAACCTTGCTTTCCAAACTACTCCAGACACAATAGTCCAACGGATTGGTATCCGGAGATTTTGGTGACCATTGTGTTCTGGAAATGAAGCGAGGAACCTCATTTTGTAACCATTCTTGGGTGGCGCGTGATGAGTGCGATGGTGCTGAGTCCTGTCGGAATTTATTCTGATGTCACGGTCGATTAATACTAGCGGAGAGCGAACATCGGCTGTTACGGCGGCCCAAACCATCACCATGACCGACGCTTGGGTTCTGATGGCCAATCGAAGGTGCGCATTTTCAGCTGACCTCTTTGGCAAGTAAACACGATCATTTTGTTTGTTTACAACTGGATAACGAATGTTCTTTCATCGGAGAAAACCAAATTCGATAGTTCACCACTTACGGCCAAGCTAACAAACTCTTTAGCTCTTTTGAGTCTATTTTCTTTCAGTTGTGGTGTAAGTTCTTGCACTTTTTATACCCTCTTCCATACTATGGAGGGTATTTTGATAATTTTGGCGACATTAATCACCGGAATTGTTTCAAAATTGATATTTGAAGTTCGTAATGGATACTACAGCCTAAGACAGAAAATTGTCTGTGTGTCTACGTCTTCGTACAGCCCCCATATAACGGTACCTCCCGATATTCGGTATTTTGATTATTTTAGCGACATTATTCCCCGGAATTATTTCAAATTTGGTATTGTTATTCGTAATGGATACTACAGCCTATGACAGAAAATTGTTTGTGCAGATCGACGTCTTCGTATAGCCCCCATATAACGGTACCTCCCGATATTCGGTATTTTTATGATTTTAGGGACATTATTCACCGAAATAGTTTCAAATCTGGTATTTGAAGTTCGAAATGGATACTACATCCTAAGAGAGAAAATTGTCTATGCAGGTCCAGGTCTTCGTATAGCCCCCATATAACGGTACAACGGTATTCACCGGAATTGTTTCAAATTACGAATTTAGAGTTCGTAATGGGAACTACAGACTTTGACGGAAAATTGACTATTCAGGTCCAGGTCTTCGTATAGGCCCCATATATCAGTATCTCCCTATATTCGGTATTTTACCCACAGAAATTGTTTGAGATGTCGTATTTGACGTTCGTACTGGAAGCTATAGCCTGTGACAAAAAATTGTCTATGCTGGTCCACAATTCCGATATAACGGCACCTCCCTATATACGATATTTTTATGATTTTAGCTACATTATTCACCGTTTTTTTCAAGTTTCGAATTTGAATATGATAATGGCTTATGACAAAAAATGCCTATGTATGTCCAAGTCGTATAGAACCCAATATAACGGCTATATTCGATATTTTTAAAATTTTAACAGAATTTTTTAAGTATTTTATTTTTTGAACATTTCCAAGTTCGTTCCAACTGGTGGAGGGTATTCAAAGTTCGGCCCGGCTAAACTTACTGCCTTTTTAACTTAATTTTCATTTTTTATTGGGTCCTGTTCTACTTTATTTAAAAAATAAAACTTATTATATGTGCTGATATTACATCCAGAATATATCCGTACAACTCTTATCAGAAAAAAATATTATGAATTTGTGTAGCCCCAATATAATGGTACCTCCAGATTTTTGACAATATGAAAGTGTTCGCTACAATTTCCAATCAATGTTTACTTGATAAACATTAACACAATTTTTCCTCGATATACATAATAATCTATTGCATTTTTAATTTCAGTTCCTTGTCCTCTCCGTCATTGGACCAATTCATGCATTTTGGTGGCGTTCCAGTCCAACGTAAGTAGATTAGCTAAAAATTTTCTCCAGGCACATTTTAATCTAGTGTCGTTATTTCCCTTTCTAGAGAACCCACATCCACACCGGCACCGGTTATGAAACAAATACCCTTGACATATTTCCGAACATATACCTATCAGCCAATGGCTGGGAATCCTTTGCCATTCCCTCTGATGAGCTCAACGGACTATGTGACAAATTATGCCGCTTTGGCCAATAATCCCTACTTTAATCCAATGCTGTCTTTACTGCCACAGGCAGTGGGTGCCGGAGCAGGTGGTTTGGCAGTGCCGGCAACGGGGGAAAACGAAAATGAAATTAAAAGGGAAGGAAGGCCGGGGAAACGATATGGTACTGTGGTGAGATCATGGAATGGTGCTAATCAAATACCGGTTGCAACAAAGGCCACAGCCGGCACTACGTCTACTACTACGACGACGACAACCACACCAAAACCCACAACGACAAGTAGTACAACTACGAGCACAACAACAACATCAACAACTCCTACACCAACAACAACGACTACTTCCTCCGCCACTATCACGCAAGCTGCTAAGACAACAGATTCCCTTGCCAGAAATGATGCCAGTTCGGCCTTTATTAAAACCGATGCCGTTGTTAACATTGAGGCCGCTTATCCTGCCTTTAATCGCAAGGTCTACACCAATCATTTTAATATTAACTACAATCGTCCTGTTTATCCTTATCCTGAATATTCAATTTATAAACCTGCCAGCAATCTCAATGAAGAGAATAATTCTGGAGCATCTCCCGGTCCCGCCATCCCATCGGGCGGCAATATTGAATTCGTACCCTGCATGTGTCCCGTCAACATACAAAACGGTTTCCCAACTGGTCTGCCCATAACTGGCAATCCCTCAAACTCAATTTTCTTGGCTCAGGGTCGAACCAATCCCGAGGTAGAAGCTTCTCTGGAGTTATCGGCAACCGATTCGTCCGAATCGAAATCGAGTGAAAATATTCCCACCGAAGCTGAATTGCCTTTGACAAATTTCGTAGAGGATTTACAAATGGTCGATGTGGACGAGGCCAATGACGCTGATGTTGCAGCTGAAGAGGCGACGCAGAGCATCACAGCTTCGTGATGAAGACAGGCATGAGGTTTTATCTTTTAAGTATTAATACGAATAAATTTTAGACTGAATAAAAAGAAATATGGATGGATTTTAGAGAGAAAGATTTATTTATTGGGGAAAGAACTTCAGGAAGTAGGATTAAAGAAATTCAGAAATGCAGCTAGATGCACGTTCCTATATTTTCAGGACTAGAATCTACATTTCTCATGCAAGAGTTTTTGGAAGAGAATAGTAAAACAGAATAATTGAATTTTTATAAACAGCCATAACTCCTTAAATATTGACATTTCGGGGGTTCTAGCTCGTTTTTACATAGAGTTTTTTTAAAGTGGAAAAATAGGCTATTTTAAAATGGCCATAACTCCTTAAATATTGACATTTCGGGGTTTTTGGCACATTTTTACATTGAGTTTTTTAAGTGGAAAATAGGCTATTTTAAAATGGCCATAACTTCTTAAATATTGAAATTTCGGGGCTTTTATCACGTTTTACATTGAGTTTTTTAAAGGGGAAAAAAAGGCTATTTTAAAATGGCCACAACAAAGTGGAAAAATAGGCTATTTTAAAATGGCCTTTATCCTTTGGAACCGAAAATAATGTACCCCTTCCTGGAACCTCCTTCTTTCTGCATATTTGGCAAATTCTCATTTTCAAATTCACAGATTTTCCTGTTTATTTATAATTTATATAGATTTGTCTTCCAATTCCTTTAAATATTTAAATTATTTCAAAAGATCTTGACAAGAACGTCACAATTTTGTTTTTGTATTCATAGGGCGAATTCATAATATATTTTGACAGAAAACTTGGTCGTCAGATGGACTTACCGGCCGATCTTATGCAAGCCACACACGATACAACTGTTGGTACAACCTGGAGGGTTGTCAAGTTGTATGCTTCGGCCACAAACGATACAACTTTGTATACAACCTCTTTGTACAACTTTACTTTTCAAAGATTTCATTTGAGTTAAGATGACACCGGAAACAATATGCTCTATAATTTACTTAATAGCCTTAATTTACTTAATAGCCTTAATTTATTTTTATTTTTTTTATATTTTCATTGAAATTACACATTTGATTGGAATTCGTCTTGTTTTGATGTGCGAAACAATGGTGTTGCCTCTTTGAAAATAAACACAAAATGAAATTGTATACGACATGCCCACATACATTACAATCGGTTGGTACAACATGCCAAATATCAATAAATTTTGATTTGTTGTTTGATTTTTACAACCGAGACACAACTTCGTACAACCATGCCACAAACGATACAATCTTCAATACAACCTCTCCAAGTTGTACAACCAGTTGCTTCGTGTGTGGCTTGCATTATATAGGCCTTGTTCTGGAACAAGTATTCACTTTACATTTTTCAATGAAAAAAAAAGAACAAAACTTTAATTAAAACAAAAATGTTGAATTGTTTTTATTGTCAGATTTTTTTTCAATTACATAAAAACATTTTTTTCAATTGTCAGTTTCTGTAAAAATTTGTATTTCACATTGATAAGAAATAATAATGATGGCATACAAGCGAATTCGATGAATCAAAATAAATAATCTGACAATAAGGGAACCTGAGGTAAAATTCATGTTTCCTTTTTGTCGTCAAATGACATTGGAGACTGTAAAACCTAAATATGCTGCGGAAATTGGGAGATCCAGTAGAAATATGAAGAAGTATTCCAACAAAATTTCTGCATTGTTGTATTCGAGAGGAAAGTGCATAGGATGCGAAATGAACGACGAGTCCTTTGGCAGTAAATCGAAGCCATTATAGCTCCGGTATCAATTATTGTATCAAAATGCAAGGTAAGTCGAAGTGTTGGTATTTATTTACGGTATCTCATTCTGAAACCATAAGGAAAATAAGCAAATTACAGTATTCAAGAAGAGTATTCATTGGACAAAATGATTAAAGGCGACCAGAAATTAGTATTTATTAATGAACGGAAGAAAGTTTTTAGCGAAAACCCAATTAAAATATTTGAACAACTTCAAAAAATCAGTTTATAAATAGAGTCATTATATACAAGTTAGTTTGTTTGTATAGAAGATCCTAAAGACGCCCTGAAGTGAGTTATAACCAATGAGACGGATAAGTTCATGGATGCTGAAAATGTGTGCGCACGATATCCGCCAAAATGAGTATCCGATTTGGAAGAAGTACTGGGTATATCGTAAAATTTTGCAAAAATACCAATTTTTCAAAAATACGAACTTCATATTAAGCGATGGGAGATCCGATATACAGAGTGAGATAAAAAACAAGTTAAAAAGTATCAGTCGGAATTGCCGCCAGATATATACCCTCAGCCTATGTTCGATTATTTAAATATATTTTGACTAGTGTTAAGGTTATTCAAACGTTTGACCCTCTATTGAGCAGGTCCTGAAGGAATGGGCCAATATTGCCCATTTCCTATCGGACCCAAAAATATGATAAAAATATTGCGACAGATGTGCCAAGTCTAAATGGAAACGGATGTTAATTTCGCATTTTATGGGAGGTACCAGAAGGAGTGGACCGATGTATTCACCCTTCACACCAGACCATGGGTTAATACAAATATTGGGACGTGTGAAATTTGAAGACAGTCGGACTTTTACATCATATTTAATGAGATAGTAATTATTCAAAATTTTGGCCATTTGTAGGGGAGGTACTTGATGGAGTAGACCGATATTGTCCATTTTCACACCTGACCTAGTACAAATGTTCTGAAACGGATTTGGTTCAAAGAGACCTATTGTGGTTTACCAGTCTAATATAAAGAAATCAAACTATCACGCTTGAATTCCATCACTCTTTTGTACGCTTGAAAACAATGTAATGAGCTCTCACTGGAATAATTTTAACAGCTGTCGGACGAGTGGCTTGGAAATGACTGCAGTCTGAAGTTGGTTGCAGTTTTTTCATTTCAGACTGTATCTCACAATTATGCGTCTGAAATAAGGTGGGACATCGAGTCGAGCTTCTAATGCTTTTAGGACGTCTTCCTACCTAAGGCTGTTAAAAGCGTTTTTAACATCGAGAGTTGTAAGTAGTATCAGCGGTCTACCATATTGGTTCCGCTTCGAAGGCGTGGATGACCTCGCACACCAGACCTGAAACCATGCTGTCTGCTTGATAGCCCTCCTTTTTCCTCAATGGTCTTTTCCAATCTCGGTTTGATAAGCCTTTCTAGTAGTTTACCCGCTGAATCGAACATACATCGAGGTCGGACCTCCTTTCTCTTTGCCTATAAGAACAAGCCTCTCTGTCTTCCAGATTTCAGGAAATCTCCCTCGCTGTGGAGAAGAGAGCGTTAACAATACGAGTTACCTTGTTTAAGTCCATCGGTGGTGTTGGGTTCTTGGGGCTTAGTTTACCCATGACAATTTTATATCCCGTACCCCATGGCTTCGTGTTTATGTCCTTTCGTAGCGCTGCCCACATTCGCCTTTTGCTTTCGTAGATTTTTTCTTGGAGCTCCTATTTTGCTTCTTTGTACGGGATCCTCTCAGGTTCAGCATCGTTTCGCCTTCTAGCTCTTGCTTGTGTACCGCCTTCTGTTTTTGAGGCGTTAGTAATATCTTAATTCCACCGGTAGACAGCATTTTTTCTCAAAATGTCCGGTGTTATTTTTGGCATGACATTTGTTAAAAACGCTGCTTTGCTATTGCTGGAGCTGCTTTCGGCCTTCGATCAATTTCCGATAGAAGCGTAGCTTGACTTAATTTATTCACGTTCCATATACGTGTACTTAGTCTCCTCAGCACTGCATTATTGTGTGTGTGAGTACTGCATTATACAGTGTTCGTCTTGAAATTGTATGCTATGCATTGGTGGTCACTGCCCGTATATGTTTTGAGAACTCTCTAATCTGAAAAAAATAAAGAAATCACACTATCACGCTCGAATTCCATCGCGAATAACTTTTTTTCTGGAAAATTCTCACCAAAATGTTTTGTACGCTTGTAAACAATATAATGAGACTGTCGGACGAATGGCTCAGAAATGACAGCAGTCTGAAGTTTATTGCAGTTTTTTCATCTCACCTTGTATGTATGGTGGAGGTTATAAAAATCGGCAAAAACAATATAAAATTGCGAGCTCTGTTAAATTGTAACATAGTGCTAGGTCATGATATGGTACATATCATGTATTTCTACTACCAGCGCCATCTATCGATTCAACGTAACAATAAAACATCTTTATATGTTTTTGGTTAGAACCAAACACTTTTCTAACATAGTGGACTAGCCAAGTCACGACCCCATACAACAACACTCTTCATCCTCTAGTTTGATACTGTTCGAATGGAAACAAACTGTTATATGACGAAATTTTTCACTAGAAAGATTCGGAGTGCCATTACAGTTTACTAGGAGGTTACAAGGAGGATTTCGCAAAAAAACATTCATTAGCGGATCAACAAATAATTGAATATGGCTTCAGTTTCCATTGCAATTTTTTTTAAATGTTTAGATATATTTTAGCAATTTTTTTTGTTTTAATGACTATATTGTTATCTCTTCCATTTCTCTTTCTTCTACTTGCATTGTAACACTATTCGTGTTCTTTTTTGCATTTTTGTTGGGGATGAATGAGAAGTGGTGAATGTTATATGCCGAATGCTTGACCATCGATATAAGAAGGCATCAAAAGAAACAGACGAAAAAAAAAAACTGCGCCGGTCCGTTAATAAAATCATGAATCGACGACACATAAGGGGTTGTTTCGCATGAAACCAATTTTCGAACAGTTACACCGAAAAAGAGAACACAATGTGTCATGTGAGAGCATCATGTACATCATGGCTAACAGAAATTGAATTTGGATGAGAGCCACATGGGTGAGAAACGCATGCACGCACACATACACTCACTGCTTTGTGGTGAGAAAGACAATAACAAGTGTTTTTGTATACGAAGGAGGCCAATGGACATGGTTATTTCATGTTGGTATTCCCTTACTGCCCCCCAAAAATCGAAAAAATTGACTTGAGCTCTCTTTGTTGTTTTTTTTTGTGGGAATAACAAATAGAGAGAAGATTCGAGAATTACAGGCAAAAAAGGAGGTAATGTAAATGAAATTAGGAGAAAGAAAAAAGCACAAGAATGGTAGTATAGTTAACTAATTAGCAGGGTTGCATTAATGAGGATTTTAAAAAATATTATAGAAATATTGTAAAAATAATAAAAAAAAAAAAACAAAATTCCTAATAAGAGATCTTAAATGTATTATTATATTTAATTTACAGAATTTAGAATATAAATATATTTTTCAATTCAGAGTTGCCATTTGGGGAATGTTCTGGGAATTTTTAAGAAAATCCCAAAAAGTGGTAACAAAAATCTAACTATACTGTACTATACTATAATACACTATACATTACTTTACAATACTACATATGAAGATAAGTCTTGTAATATTTTTTTCGAAATATGCAGTTTTTTAGAAAAATGTTTCATTTAAAATTAGCTAGAAATCATTTCCCAAAATGTTTAAATTTTCCTGTAAGATTCATAGATGAAAAATTATAAAATTATATATATCTGATAAAGTTCTATGTCGATTTAGCGATGTCCGTCCGTCTGTGGAAATCACCCTAGCTTCCGAATAAATTGAAGTAGATTAATAAAATTTTGCTCTAATGTATATTATGTCTGCCAGACTTTTGAAATTGAAAATGGGCCATGTAGGTCCACGTTTTGGTATAGCACCTATAGAACGGTACCACCCAATATTCGGTATTTTGATGATTTTAGCGACATTAATCACAGGAATTGTTTCAAATTTGGTATTTAATGTTCGAAATGGATACTATAGCCTGAGACAGAAAATTGTCTGTGCAGGTCCACGTCTTCGTATAGCACCCATATAACGGAACCTCCCGATATTCGGTACTTTGTTGATTTTAGCAACATTTCTCACTGAAATTCTTTCAAATTTGGAATTTGAAGTTCGAAATAGATACTACAGCCTAAGACAGAAAATTGTCTGTGCAGGTCCACGTCCTCGTATAGCACCCATATAACGGTACCTCCCAATATTCGGTATTTTGATGATTTTAGGGTCATTATTCACCGGAGAAGTTTCAAATTACGAATTCAGAGTTCGTAATGGGAACTACAGTCTGTGACAGAAAATTGTCTATGCAGGTCCAGGTCTTCGTAGAGGCCCCATATGTCAGTACCTCCCCATATTCGGGATTTTGACGATTTTAGGTACAATACTCACCGAAATTACTTGAGATGTCGATATAACGGTACCTTCCTATATACGGTATTTTGAGGATTTTAGCTACATTATTCACCGTTTATTTCAAGTTTCGAATTTGAATATGGTAATGGTTTATGACAGACAATGCCTATGTAGGTCCACGTCGTCTAGATATTTGGTATTTTTAACATTTTAACAAATTTTTTAACGGATTTTATATTTTGAATATTCGTTCCAAATGATGGAGAGTATTCAAAGTTCAACCCGGCCGAACTTATTGTTTTTAACTTGTTTTAAATTGTTTTTTTTGAAAAAGCTACCCTCGTATAACAGTTACCCCATATTTTCCACCAAACTCAAGTAAGTGGCAACATCTTTTCACAGTTGCACATTTCCGCAATGTCCTTCAACCCCTATACCCACTGCTTTCGAACTTATTATTGGACTTCGAAATTCTCATCAGACTCAGCGTATAGTAGATATTTTCGATTTCTTTCATTCTCTGCTCTTTTCGACTTGGCGTTTGCCTGCTGCTGCTCTGCCACTGAAAGGCTCGTAAAGGTTAATGATGAGTGCAAAATTTTTCCATACACCAATCGGATTTTGTAGACGCATCTAGGCGCATACACACCGAGAGAGTTGAGCTGACTTGACTTGAAGTAAAGAAAAAATATTTTTTCTTCAAAAAAAGCAAAAAAAAAAGGAAAATCTATAAAAAATTTTTGTGTGTTTCTTTGTGTGAGATTTTTGTGAAACTAAATTTTTTCCAAAAGAAAAATTGAAACTCAGCGAATAAGAAAATCTAACAAAATTGAAATACCAAAAAAGGAAAATAATTTTAAACTAAAAAAAAAAACAAAAACAAATTGGAAGAAAATTAACCAAAAAAGAATTGTGTGAATAGATTTCCCTGCGTTTTCCACTGGGGAAAAGTGTAGGACACCCTAAACTTCTCGGTAATCACCACTACCACCATTGCCGCCATCATCACCTCAACGAATTTTGAGGGGAGCAGGCGTCGTACATTTTTTGTTCAGCTCCTTGCATGAAAGTAAAGTGAAGTTTTCCTTTGGCCCGTTTTATTTTCCAAAATCTAACGGGGAGTGTCACACCAGCAATAAAACGAAAAGAAAAACCCATTCATTCTAATTTGAAAAACGCAAGAAAATCAATCGTCGTTTTTGAAAAGAAATATCAAAATCAGTGAAAAAGAAATTGTATTTTTTGTGAAAACCTAAACCCAAGTGAGAACAGAACATTTACGTCATATTTTCTTTTTAGAGAAAATTGTGCAAAGCGAAAGAAAGCAAACAAACAGAAAAAAGAAGAAACGAAACGAAACGCACAGCTATTCTCCTGATTTGAATTCAATTGGTTCTTGAGGAGAATTTCGTCCCGAAAATTTATTCAACAACAATCAGCAACCTAAGCTATTTGGATCTAAAAATGTCGAGGATATTGACGTGGGGTCTATTGGTCCTAATGGCCATAACGGCGACATCACAGGTACAGGTAAGTGTCAAATGGAGGGGACCAACAAACAACATTGGCCCAAAACGGGGTGCTGTGACTCATTTCATGTGTTTTTTTTTCTTATTTGGGAAAACGGTTTTTCATTTTTTCTGATTAGACTTTGCGGCTGAAGAGGGGGGTAGAGAAGAGTGGTGAGGAGAGGAGAGAAAATAAAATGAGTGCGTGTGAGTGTGAGTAAGTGGTGTTTTGAGAGTTTCACCACCACCACCACCTAGTTGTCGTCCTTTCTTCGGACTCCTTTTCATTTGGTGTTGTTGTGGGTCTCGGTTTTTCCTAGTTTATTGCCGTTTTTCCATTTCAGCTGTCCTTTAGCTTGCCTTGTGTGTTTTCTTTTCTTTCTCCTCTACTACGTTTGTGGTGGCTGACTGAATGACTGACTGGCTGGTTGGCTGGCTAAAGAACACGAACACGACATGAAAGAAAAACTGTCTGAAATTCTACAGTTGTATTAGTTGTTGTTGTTTTGTAAATTTCTACTTTTTAAGTATGTATGTGTATTTGAGACAGGGTACGGAATAAAACGAATGAATATATATATTTATATCGAAATTGCGTTACAATATATTTTTATAGTATATAGACTGCAGATGTAAGAGATGTGGTTCTACATCATCTCGTGATTCATAATTGTATTCGAGCCAATAGGAAAAAACAATAACAAAGACGCAATATATACTATGGTTATACCAGACAATTTGTCTGCCAATAATCGATTTCATCATTTTATTGTAATGAAACCAATTATACATATTTACATATTCATATGTATGGGTGTCCTAAACCAACGATGTTGCCAGAAAATCATTTCGAAACATTTGACAAGCTATGAACATTTTCAAATAAAGGGTCTGTTCCAGAACTGCAAGGTTTTATTACGATGATCGATTTTCTCTTTATGACATCGAAAAAAAAAAAGATTGCTAAACTGATAGATTCTTGCAGATCCTGGAACAGAGAAAAAAAATTAAAAATAAAGATTTGGAATTATAAGTTTATTATTATAACTTGATATAAATATTTTTCTGGGTTTTCGACTTTTTTGACTGTTGATAAACACAATTGTTTGAGCTTGAGGTCAATTATAATTGTTGCTTAAGGAATTTTCTATTTATACCCTACAACACTATGTGTTGGGGGTATTATAAGTTTGATTGGGCCAGAATTTATGTAACACCTCGAAATATTGATTTCCCATATAGGAAAGTATATATGGATCTTCCTAGCTCGCCGAGCTGAGTCGATCTAGCTATGTATGTCCGTCCGTCCGTCTGTCCATGTTAATTTGTAATCACTCTACAGGTCGCAATTATGGTCCGATCTTCACGAAATTTAGAATGTAGGTGGGGCTTGGAGCAGAATAGAACCCTATTGCTTTTGGAGATGATCGCCAAATGTTTAGGGGTTGAAATGGACCAAATACTGAAAAAATGTCGGATTTTGCAGAAGCTATACAGGTCGCTAAACTCGCATGTAGCTGGAGTTTAGGGAGGGGAAGAAGCCTACCAATTTGGGTGGTCATCGGATAATATTTAGCGGGTAAAATAGACCATATCTTTTGTATTGAAAAAATTCAAAATTTTTCATCAAACCGCGAATATTTTAAATCCAGGCGAAATCATAAAGCCATGACAAGGTTACTTCTGATCTTTACATTGATGTTAACATTCAACAAATCGGATATATAGCAAAATATGTGCGATATATATGTCTATCAAAGAAGATATGCTTGAAATATTTCTTATATGTCGAGAACGGCTGAACGGATTTCGACAGTTCTCATTAATTCAGAATGGCCTCTTGGCAGGAAAGAAAAAACGTCTTTAAAAATCGCATAAAAATATCTCTCTAAAGATGAAAATATTGATTTTGTAAAATTTTCTCATATTTTTTCAATTTTGTCATATTTTTGGCATATTTTCATTTTGAATTAAACATTTGGTAATATTTCTACAGCTAACAAAACTAAGTAGTTAGGATATCATATACAGATCGAATTTATGGCCCGATCCTTACGAAATTTTGCATGGGGATAAGATGAGGGTCAGAATAGATGCCTACTCTTTTTGGAGATGATCGCCATATATTTAGGGGTTGAAATGGACCAAAAAAACTGCAAAATTGTCAGCAGGTCGTAATTATCGCCCGATCCTCAGGCACATTTGAATGGTTGTTACCGGACATTGCAAAAGCCAAGCAGTTTTGGATGGCCATCCAAAAATATTCAATGTGTGAAATAGTTTGCCAACTTTTGTAGACAAAATACAAAAATGTCCATTACAGTGACTTCTTGGAGAATTCACAAATATAGGAAAGACGCACTTCTGACTATTTCGTTAACGCGGATTTAGTTGAAGAATATAGTCAAATGGCTGTATCTCATATAGATGCGTTTCAGTCAAAAACCAATAATAAATGTTAATCTTTTGCCACTTCTGAGAGATTATGGGTCTTTGGGTTCGAGAATAAATTGGAAATGAGCAAATTAGCTTAAGTTGCTATTATTCGAAAATTAGAGAAAGAAACCTGATGGTTTTCTTTTATTATTTGTCAAAATATCTTGTGAAATTCTTTCGAGTATCTCGCCTATATAAACTGTATCGTTTATTGTAGTGTTGTAGGGTATTCAACGGTCGGCCCCGCTCTACTGTAGCCCTTGCTTACTTGTTTTCGAATAGGTTCACTGCAAAAATATTTTTTTTTGAATCATCAGAACTGCTGTTCTATTCATGTCCTATAAAAGTGTGAAATAAAAACATTCATTGAGAAAATAAATGTCAAATGAATAATGTTATAAAGAAATATTTTCCCTTCCAAAATTTCATTGAAGAAGAATTCAAACCTGAATCCTATTTTCCAGTTTTTGTATTTAAAACTGTTTTCAACATTCAATATTTCAAAAAAAACTTCCAGAAACTACCACTTCAATGAAAACTGTTATATGGAGACTATACGAAGATGTGGACCTGCATACGAAATTTTTTGTCTTAGCCTGTAGTACCCATTACGAACTTCAAATACCAAATTTGAGACAGTTCCAGTGAATAATGTAGCTAAGATCATCAAAATACTGAATATCGGGATATACCGTTATATGAGGATTATGAGAAAACGTGAACTTACATACGATTATTTTTTTGTCATAGGCTGTAGTATCCCTTATGAACTTTAAATATGAAATTTGTTATAATTTCGGTGAATAATGTTGCTGAAATTATCAAAATACCGAATATCGGGAGGTTCAGTTATATAGGGACTATACGAAGACGTGGACCTGCATACGAAATTTTTTCCATATGTTGTAGTAACCAATTCGAACTTCAAATATGAATTTTGAAATATTTCCTGTAAATAATGTCGCTAAAATCTGAACATACCGAATATCGGGAGGTACCGGGGGCTATATGAAAACGTGGACCGACATGACCCATTTACGAACTTAACCTGCCTACTGGTAAACTATGTATGTGTGCAAAATTTGATTACGTGATTACAACAGACAGACGGACATGGCTTGATAGGGGGGATGTATTTGCAATATAAACGTCTACATATGTTCTGAAAGTGGCCCTTTACAGAGAGCTGCCTTTTTCGGATGACCTGGTAAATATGTTTCGATTTTTCCCTTGATATCATGGTAGAAATAACAGGATGTCACATCGGCAAAAGTTACAATAAAGCAACTCTTCTGGGAACATATATGTAGCACAGGGAAGCAATAGTTTTTTTTTCAGAGAGTAAAAAACATCGACGGCATTTCGTTGAGTTAAAGCCACCGTTTTGTCAGTTTTTATGAATTCCATAAAAATTAAGTTTGTCATAGCTTAGAAAACTTTTTGTAGAGGAAGGATATTAAAAGTTTTGCCACTTGTTACATAAAATCTAGTAAAAACGGCGTTAATTTATCCAAACCTATGCCCAAATGGAACTAGCCTGACAACTCTTCAAATTAAGGGATTACATTAAATGGTCTATATGCCAATACCTTCCGTTTGTAACTCTTCGATAGACCCTGATAGACCCTGTAAAGAATATAAATTTAGGATCAGCGCAAAATTTTAAGATGATTTAGTTATGTCCGTCTGTCTGTATGTCTGTCGGTCTGTTGTAATCACACTATATTTCGAGCGAATTGAGAAAGACTGCTAAAAATAAATAAAACGGTATTGTTTCAAATTTCGTATTTGAAGATCTTAATGAGAGCCAAAATCTATGACAAAAATTTACTTATACTCATCATTTAAACGTTAGTTATTGTTCCATGGGGGCTATCCCAAAAGTGGGCCGATATGGTCCATATATTATTTACATTATTATACGGTCACTAAAATATGAAGGTCTTATTTAGGCTTGGTCAAAAAAAAAAAAAAAAAAAAAAAAAAAATCATAAAGAGATTTGCTGCGAAACGGGAAAAAAAGTGCTACAATTTTCAAAAATAAACAAGGTTTTTTTTAAACAAAAATTTATGATATTTTTAGGGTACATATTAAATATAAACATTTCTTTTCTTCAGAGACTCAGAATGAAATTTGATCTAAAATAATTCTTCCTTTAATGCTGTGACCAAAAAATAAAGGTTAGAGGGAGATTTTGACTTAGAATGGAAACATGTTAAGTTAAGAGTAAAAAAGAACATAAATTTCGAATATTATTTTCTTAAAAACTATTTTACCTAGATATATGTTTTATTCTGATATTTATAATGAAATTTTGTGTAGAATTTTTCTTCCTTTGACACATTTTGCCTAAAATGAAATTTTACATTACTTTTAGGCTTCAAATCGAAAAAAGTCTGAGAAAAAAAATTATTATAAAAATTAGGAACTATTTTCGTTTTTTTTTTTTGGGAACATTAATGCCAATATTTTTTTCATATACAATGAAGTTTTTATTTCTTTGTTGGTTTATAACAGAGCAAGGCAGAGACCCAACATACCAAATTGACTTGAGAATAATATTTTAATAAGCTTTCAAATATAAG